TCAAAGTTTTGTAGAATCGAACTGGAGTAATAATGCTGGAAGCTGTGAAAGTGTGTCCCAGGTTCGAACACTACTCATGTGGCATACACCTGTTTGTTACATTATGCCATCACATTGTTGATCTGAGCCCACCCTGAAGCTAGCTGTTCCCCGCCGAAATTCAGGGAACCCGTCTCACTTTTTATGTCCCCGGTTAACGTTGTTGGGTACGTCTCCCTTCCTTCTCTCGGCCCCAAGCTTTTGACAGGCGCTAAATGAATCTGACAAGTTGTCCATGAGCACGCCACACGACCAGCGCGCCATCCTTCAAAAGAACAAAAAAAAGGCACCACCGTCTCGTCCGTAATTTTAGCGCGATCGACCCATAATGATTTCATGTGTGGTCCGCTGCTCGAGACCTCTCCGTTGTGGTCGAGTGGTTTTCTCGGTAGGTTTATAATCACCGGTGTCTGTACACACACTGCTAATGATACACTATACAGTGACACTTAACCCGGAAAAATATCAAATTATCGTCGGCTTTCAGACATTTCCTGGGCACCTGAATGTATACCTTCCCAACTCCGAGGACTAGTGACTCGCCACCCATGGTTGTTTCTGTAAGCTCGTGGGGCATAGCATTGCTTGGCCCCGGCAGTGCGTTCGCTCTGTCAACACCACTTTTTACCACGAGAGTTTTAACAAAAGTGGGGGGAGGGGGGTTGCTAAAATCAAAACTTTGTGTCAAAATATTCAAAAGTTGATGGATTCAACTTGGTCAAGTGGTGGAGTTCTGGAGTGACGGGTGTAGAGTTGTGTCGTCCCAAGGGTAAAGACACATTCATCACTCGTGTGCACCTGCTGGGGGGGGGGGGCTTTGAGCTTTGTGGCCTATCATAACATCGGTGGCCAAATAATTGTGGCCTGGGTCTTGGCACCCTATATAAAAGGCATTTCAGCAATGGCTGCGGTCGAGACATTCATAAAATAATGTAATTACTCATCGCCATGTCAATAGTGCTGTACATACAGCGCTTGAACACGCAGACCACCCGTAGAAGTCGACAAGATCTAATCATTTATAACGATACATGACGACTGTCTACACACCTGTAACGCTGCATGCGCCACTTTTTTGGAGGGAACGATCGATGGGCCTGCCTCCAGTTCACTTAGATATAAAACAATGCCGACCATACAATGTTAATATCAACCAGGTCAGAGCAAACAAGCTCGAAATTGTTACTGTTATGTCGCAGTTATTAATCCTTTGTGGCGAGGCCCCCCCATCTCTCTGGAACTTAAATGACATGATAGAACGGTATTTCACGCTCAGTATTTGTCAGATCTGAAGCTTCAACTAGTACAAACCATGAAACTTGATCTACTTTTGATATTTCGAAATCATAAATTTGTTCCAGCGGTGTCATTTTTTATCAAGATATCATCACAGACAGCGTCGCAGAAGAAAATTGCTAAAGAGTTTACGAAATAATTGCCAGCGCATGCATTTCGGCTTTCATCAGAATCGAATCTCATGCGCCCCAGCAGCATGTGGGGCTTTTTGTGCGCAGTGCATTGCAATAATAAATTCATAGACTTGATTGCAGTACGCGTTTTGACTGCCACAACTGTAGGAGGGCGCTCTCACCGTTCTCTGAGGGTGTTGTCTTCACCCGAAGACTTCGTCTGGAGGTTTCATATTGCCAGTACCTTTCACAGCAATCCTGAAGCTTGTTCTTGTTCTGCCAGTATTCTTGCCATATGTCACACGGCATCGTGTGTGTTTCCCCTTAGTCCAGTTGCATGTTGGGCATTAAGGAACGGATACTCGGTGTCCCTTGGTAGGGGATGCTTTCGAGTTCGAGTTACCCGCCCTCCCCTCCCTCTTTCCCCCTGGCTCCCAAGACGGCAGATCACTGTTTTGTGTGTATATTCTGTTGCTCGTCGGCGCTCTGTGGATTACTTGATTTGGGAAAACGAGGGAAGGAAAAACCTACTTTCCTTTCTCGATGCTGAATAATAGCGTAGACACAATGCACCGCGTGGGAAAACCATAGAGTTGTGCTGTCTGGAGTTGAGGGAACTAGTTATGCTTGTAACAACACGAGAGCATTACATCTAGACTTTCAGGAATTGCATTTTAACCCATGTTGAAAGGAGTTTCAATTTACCAGTCATCACTTAAATTGCGACACGTGTATGCTTATTCAGTTTCCCATGACGTGAAACTGTGACGGTTTCTGTAAAGTTTTAGAGTCCCGTGGAAGAATTTGTTGAAAGAATTTGGGGAATTGGTAGCAAATGTCGAGATCTTCCACTGTTGACTTCAGTACCGGTATAATGTGCTGTCTTGCTCAAGTTCCTTTAAAGGCTCGATCTGCACGATTTCTCTTTCAACGTTTTCGCCTCGACATAGAACTGATCCGATGTGGTCAAAAGGTCAATATTTTACATTTCAACATCTTTGACCTGTCCAGAGAGAGCTTTTGATCCATAGACTTAGCAGAGCGATTTAAAACATTTATCAACTCGTCAGCTAGGATTAGCCCGATAATGTTCCAAATCTGTCCTCTTCGGACCAAAATCTGTGGATTAATTTTTCTTCGCATGAGTATTCTCCCAGCAAAGACGGGAACAAAAAATGCAGTCCCTGACTCGACTTTTTTCTATAAGAGCAGAGCTGGAGGTGATGACAAACTCGCCGGCGGTTATCACTCAGTAACCCAGAACCCGACCAGGAAATCGGCAGAAATTACGGGCGGAAGAAATCCGAGCCGCTGGGAGCCGCTGGGGAGATGAGCCTCACGGCGTGCGGGTGTTTCGCGGCATGCCCAGCCTTCTAGAGGGCCCGGCCCCGCCGGTGAAGTAGACGGGCCTTACCTAGCCCCTGATGTCTGTTGACTCAAGTCCAGCGGTGATGAAAGTGTGTGCGTCTCCCTCGGGCCCGTGTGCGCGCGGTAAATCCTCTCTAGCTAAACATCTTAGGGAAGATGACATCATTCATTGCCTGAAGGTGGTTCCCGGTATCCCCCCCCCCACTTTCTCTTTTTCCCCCAACTTCTCTCTTTCCCCGCCTTGCCGTGGTGGAATTCTCGACACTGTTGCTAAGCCAGACCGTGTCACGATACTTCCTATGCGGATGCCATTGGAACTCGAGCAGGAAATTATTGATTATGGACTAGATCATTCCAGCTGATACCGTGTCAGAAATATTTTGCCCGATGACAGTGAGCTATGGGCAAACCATATGGATGTGTCACTTTTAACTGAATTATAATTCGGGTCTTGCGGAGTGTGACGTGTCCTGCGCGTGATTTTCGTCTCCAGAAAGACGCTTAGTTTCAACCACGTCTGAAAGTTATTGGGAGACGATCGTCCAAATAGTGGCGTATTCGTCTTGGGTCGGGGTTCAAAATATAATCGTTTTCCACAAACGACTGTTACTTTTTGTCATCTGTAAAATAATCCTCAATCCCCCCCCAGAAAAGGTGGTAATGCTGCTTCCAGAATGCTAGCGCTTCTAATTCCTTGAAATAATTATCGAACGTGCAATTTACCCCCGCCTCTCCCACCCAATACACCACGAATAAGGATACTGTTTTCCCCAAGACGACCAGATACCAATTATTTACCTCGCAAAATAGTTGCTCCACTTCATAGCGACAATTTCCGATGAAATGAAACATTCAACACAAAGATCATCTATCGAGTCTTATAACAAGCTTTCAGTTTCTTGCATGTGCAAACCATAAAAAAGGGGAGGGGCGGATCTTCTCCCTGTAAGACGGGCGGCGGTTGGTAAATAGTTCTCTAAGATGAAACCTGTTTTGTGTGTGCGTTGCTCCTCTTTTCGTTGCCATGGTTTTGACATTTTCATTGAGTTTAACTTCCAAGGTTTCTTAAAAGATTTACGGTTTCGTTCCCTGGGTATGATTGAGATACGTAGCTTTGCGTTCTGAAGCTCCATCTTCAAAATGATCGGTGTATCACCCATCATTGACGACGGTCCCAGAAAATATGTGTCGAATATCAGTAGTCGGCGCTTCTTTATCTAGTGACCTGGAGCAATTACATTTCTTGCGGTCAAATTTATTTATTTACCCCACAAAATGGTTGCTCCACTTCAAAGCCATAATATCTGATTAAATGAAAAGTTCAACACAGGGACCACCAAAAGACAACCGCTCAACACTACATTATTTACACTGCCGTGGTTAACCCCATATTTCAAAACATTGCACTGAGGGTTTGGGAAAAATGCTGTTTAAGTTCAGAATTAAAAAATGAATGCTCATGAATCAACCAGTGTAAGTCAACGATACTCCATCGTGGCCATTAGCCATCCAACCACAATAAATAAACAGTGGAGTCGGCGGCGAACGTCAGAAGACACCCTAGTTGAGCGAGGGTTAGAAAGAAAGGTTGGGCGGTGAAATGGTGCATTTCGGTGTCGGGTTGACGGGTTGCCATGGTGGTATGAAACTGATGTTACTTGACGATTAAAACGCTGAGACTTCGAGCCCGGAAGCAAAGTGATTTATATTTTGACTTTACTCTTACCGTCATGTGATAGTTTAATCCCTAACACTGTATAACGTATGGCCAAGTTCTTAGATTTTAGACGAGGAAAGGGGCTCAGGTCATCATTTTGCTGTGGCTGTTTTTATCACTTCTTTCATGGTTTGTTCTGAAAGAGAGGGTGCTTAAATTGAGATACAGTTTTCTTGTGGAGGGTTTTGAAGTCTGGTTACTCGATGTTCCATAAATCGCCCATATATTCAAGATAATGGTATGATTGGATGTGACTGTACATTACTGGCAAAACTGAGGGACTTTCAAAGATCAATGTAAATTCTGCTCGACGGGGTCCATTGTGGCGACAGTAAAGTGACGGTAACTTTGTAGTGCGCCCTCAAGCGATAGCATTTAGTTATGATATGCGCCCAGCGCAAATTTCTGAAGTTTTTGTTACGAAGATTGTCAATATTTGAGAGATTTATTTTTTGCTTTGGTTGCAGTTGAAGCTACATTTGGATGAACATGGCAGTTTCGTCCGATGCTGACATTTTTGAGGTCGTCAACCAAGCTTTGCAGGGGTAAGTAGCTAATGTAATTAAGTATGTTGTTAAGAGTAGCCTAGACTTAAGTTCTTCACGAAATGAATGCTGCATGCTATAGCCCAGGTTGGACGTAGCCCCACTAGTGTGGCACGGATTCTCACTCCCGCTCGATCCTTAGCCACACATCCGTGTACGCAATTTCGTGTCGCCGTACTGAAAATTTTCGGCGCACCCACTTATTATCGTGCATGTCGTGGGCGCAATTTCTTTTGCACACAGACATGACAGAGCATGCAGAGATGATCCTTAGCCATGTTAGCCTCTCCGCTTTCTTAGCGCCAATTATTGAATGATTTCACTCACGTTGTTCTGGTATTTTCCAGTCTTTTTGCCTTCACCCATTCAAAGTTCACTCTCACGGGCTTGCTCTCACAGTTGCCATCTTTAAAATAAGGTCACTGAACATTATGTCGCTTGACCCCTCATCGTCTGTTCGTCTGAAGGCTGTTCCATGTTAAGACATAGGCCTATCTAATCTACTGCCCAAGTTTTGAAAGAGCCCATTGGTACATGTAGTATCTTATTGCTCAGTCTGTGTCTGGACATGGAACAGCCGTCGAGACGAGGGGTCAAGTGACATAATGTTCAACGACCTTATTTTAAAGATGGCGACTGTGAGAGCGAGCCTGTGAGATTGAATGGGTGAAGGCAAAAAGACTGGAAAATACCAGAACAACGTGAGTGAAATCATTCAATAAATGGCGCTAAGAAAGTGGAGAGGCTGAGGATCATCTCTGTGTGCAAAAGAAATTGCGCCCACGATGATAAGTGGTGTGCCGAAAATTTTAAGTACATCGATCTGAAATTGCTTATACGGATGTGTGGCTAAGGATGGAGCGGGAGTGAGAGTCCGTGCCACGCTAGTGGGGCTAGGTTTGACGTTATCTTCATTTCATTACAACTGACGTCCAGGGTATATAAAAGTTGTGTGCAAAACAACCACAAAACTGGTTCTAATTTGTTCTTGGTTTACCTTGTTGAAGAAACAATTTTTTTACATTTACAAGTTCTCCGTGGCCTTATCCATCTGTCTGGGGGGGTTAGGAACTTCAGAAATAAACCATCAACTGTAAAATCGAGGGGAATAAGTGAGAGACAGTGTTACTTTTGTAGACGTAATTCATCCATTCTTGAGTTGTAAAGTGCATGCACTCCCAAAATAAAGCCAGTTGATAAATTCTAAGCCCACTGACAAAGACGTTCGGTGACATTTCTTCACTGGCGAAAAACATTGACAAAAATATTAGAAGACACTAATGATTGCAGAGGACTCCAAAAAAAATTCATGCAAAAGTTTCCAGCGGTTTGATATAGGTCTACGTGAGGCTGAGGGTTTTAAGAGAGCATCTCCTTCCCCCCCCCACCCCAAAAAACTGTATGAATTAGGAGATCTTTTAAAAGTCGACACTGTCTAGCTGTCTGTCTGTTGCTCTAAAATTCAACTCGTCACTGCCAATCTCAAATTCAGTCTGCTTTATATTACATGTACATGTATATGTTTGGTTTATGAATAAAAGAACGAAAGGCCGGTCAACAGCACGATTTGTGCGTGATCGCTACTTACCGCACATTGTGCGCGCACCAGCACGGCCTCTGCATACTGTGTTCCTGATCTACAGCATCACTCTCGCCTCTTCATTACAATCATCATGCCTCTTTTTTATTCCTGATTTATCAAGATAAGTTACTCTTTCATTTTTAAAAATCAGATCACTACAATACTGTGTATTTATACATCTTTAATCAGTAAAAAAACCATAAACAAATTTAACACTTCAAAGCGAGATCTTGGATGACCATTATTCTCATTACAAGCACCCTGCATACTTATGAAGCCAGCTATGCTGACCAAGCTTATTCTTATAAAATAGCGGGTTGTTTTGCAAATTTATGTTTATAAACGCAAATGTTAAGTTGAACAAATTTTGAACATTTTAGGGGTAACCAATAGGGGTGCTACTAGTCAGACTGAAGCCCCTGACCCGACAAAAAAACGGAACTGCAGTTTTGATATCGGCAGGCGGGTTTTAGCCGAGTACCAGTCAAGGCCTCCGTGTAGCAGTGTGCAACAGATCTTCACTGCCAGGAAATCGCGCATGCATAGTGCATGCATGCACTGCAGCTCGGATTCCTGTACGTGTGTGCACTTTGCAACTCAAGAACGAATGAATTACATCTACAACCATGAAAAACTGTAATGTTGTTTCTGAGTGTACCGTATTTTCCTCAATTTTGCAGTCCATGGTTCGTTCTGAATTTCCTTAACCCCCCAGATGGATAGATAAGGACATAAAGAACATGACAACCTGAAATTAGTTTCTTCAACAAGATAAACCAAGAACAAATTTGTACAAAATTTTGGGTTGTATTTTAAACAAGTTTTAGACATGTTGGAACCTGGACGTCAGTCGTAATGTAATGAAGACTGGCGTCCAACCTGGGCTATGGTTACCCCCAGAACTGTAGGGTCCGACATTTGTCCCGCTCCCACAAGGGAGCTGTTTGGACATCAAGCTTCACAGTTCCGGGAGTAAATATTGGTGGGGCTATTCCTGATATGCTATTTTGGAATCTTTGTGTGACCATTGTTTTTGACCTTGATTAATACCAGAGGGGCACTTGTATGAATAATGAAAATGCGATTTGTGGAATTGACTTCAAAAACTTTGAATTTTCATCAAAAATATTTATTCGACCCATAAAATGACATGGATACAATCACAGAAATCCCAATTTCAGACAAATATTACTGAATATCCTTACATGTACATGTATCACTATCTTGATTTATTTTTTTTATCTTGCCTGTGGCTATGTTTGATTAGATTTGCATTAAGGAGGAAAACTGAATCATAGGGTAGTTATTTTTACTACGTGTACCTTGCACATTATCAGTTCAAATACACCGTAACAATGGGGGGGGGACTGAAAGCCCCCAGGGTTGGGAGAAATTCTGGTTCACTCCCCTACCCACAAATTCCAGTTCCACATTCTATACTAGGCCTACGTCTAGTGAAAGCTAGCAGTTGTCCAATTCAAAGTTCCATTGACCTGATCGATATGTTTGCCATGCGTTCACCAATCACAACGCACAAAATCTGTCGACCTTTCCATGCGCGCATTGGGTCAACAGATTCCATACTGTGATTGGCCAACGTGTTGGCCATGTGTATTGAACATGATTTATCCATGCAAAACTGGGTTTTCAGAACATTGGCTTTGATGTGATTGTTATGTAATGGTAGTCGGGATCGTGCTTCTTGTTAGTTGATGCCCATACCTACCACAGTGTGAAAAAGGGACCCAACAGCAGGTGGACTCAATAAGATCAGTTAACTTACCTACATATACTCACCCAAGGCTTTAATGGGCTTAGGCTTTGACCACTTCATGCCGGATGACATTTCAACATGCAAGAATTTCCTGTTGTAACATGATGTTGCAATGGCAAATTCCGTGTAAAAAGCTGCGCAACGTTTATACTCGCCCCGAGCTTGAGTGTCACCCATTGAGTTTGTACGCACATGTGCACAGGCTTGAATCAGTCCTGGAGGTTGAGCGTGTGTGAATCCGTTAAGGCGCTGTGGGTCATGGACTGGTGTAGCAACAAATATTGCTCCTCAACATCATCTCAGCGGCATTTTGAAAAAGCGATGGTGCTTTAAGAAATCTTGAACAAATAACCGCCAAGGGTCAGCATTTGTAAAAGTCCAACTTTGTGAAGGACTGTGATTGTGGTATCTTGTCATTGCCAAAAGTCGGCATTGTTGGTCAAAAACACTACTACACCCAGGGCCAGCGCAACATGGAATAATGCCATCAGGAAGTGGTTACCACAGACTATGACTCCTCTCTGTTACCGACCACTGATTTCAGATTAAACAATCCTGACAATGACACAGACCACGAAGACCAACTAGATGACTGCTTGGCTACCATGACAACGGTCACCGGGACCAAAGAGAGGTACACCGCCCAAATAGAACGCCTGAGGGAGGAGGTGACATCGCTGGAAGAGCAGGTGGAAGCCGACGAGCAGAAACTGCTGCAGATCAAGATGGAGTCGCTGGACAGGATACAGTAAGAAGCGCATTGATTCTGGTGTTGATCTCCCTTTGGCAGTGCTTATGAGTAAATACTCATCAGTGAGAACTGGTATTGTACTCAAGCATGAGTGTTTGCGACTGAGTAAACTTGATGAGTGTGAGTACAGAAAAGCACATTGCTAGCCTTTAACTGAAAGTAGGTTCAAAACTGGCTCATGTTATCACACAATTAGGGTGACACGGTACATTTGAAAAACAGCCAGGAGTTTACATGTTAATAACAATTTGGTGCACAAGTACATGTACCTATCTGATTGATAAACGTGTGCGTGGGAGCATCTGTGTAGGTACCATGGTGAAAATACGTTATGTAATGTATACCACTGCAGATTGCACAGATGCATGTATGGTGTACATTTATATCCTAGCATCTACGTGTACATTGTACATGTATGCACTTGGAGATTACTTACATGTATACCCGAATTCTTCTTAGCTTTTCTACTTCAGTGGATCTATCATATCTGTTATGTCCTGAAATAAACAATGCCAATTTGTCATGCAGTAATGACTTGTTCTAGATTTTGAGTATTCCTAAATAAACGCAGTTGACACAGTGTGCTGGTCAGTTTACCTGCTTCATGTAAAATTTTAATAGCAGTAACTGCAATTCAGGCGTATGTGAGAGTTTTTACTGAAAAAAGTTCTTTCTTAAAGTCAGATCTCTCTCTTTCTGTGTGTTCTTGTTTAGATCATCACTTCAAATGGGCAAGAATTCTTCGAGCATTGGAACAGATCAGGCCACTCAAGATCATGTATGTTGACAGAAACTGTTTCTCAGATACTAAAAGCTTATTTTCTCCCTGCTCTGTGGTTATTAACAAATGCCTGTCAATGAGCATTTCAAGATCTGGCATGAATCAGGATGATTGATTAGTGGCGTCTTAATAACCACACGGCCTTGTACTGTGTTTGCTTCAGTTAAAACTCCAAGGTGCCTTCACCGGTATCCAGTACACAGATGCCACGGTAAGGATTGTCAAGCAGGATGCAGAACAGACCACCAGGCAGCACTGTCTGCAGGGCCAGTGTTCAGGGCTCAGCTTCCAAGTTGAGTTTCAAGTGAAGGAGCGACTGGTAGGTGGTACAGTAGTAGGAGTTGGCCCACTGCCAGCAAAAATGCAAATTACATTGTAACCAGGCCCACAAGCTTTTACTTTCGACTATTTTTTTCAATCAATGCGCATTCTTTGTGTTCATTCCCAAAAAAAATTTGGACATTTGAGATTCTTAGTTTAAGGTTTTGGCCAGTTGTGCCATACCACCTCTCTATCATTACAAGGTTTTTCTGCCTTCTAAAATACACAGTTCAATTTTTGTTTCTTGAATTCTTTTTTCCGGTGGCAGCTTACAGACGCTGAGAAAAAGCAGCTTCCCACAGGGAGCAATCAAGAAACGAGATCCCACGTGAAATCACTCGCAATCCAGATTGACGACAGGGCCTTATGGGAACTGGAACCGTTTGTCAGAGAGGCTGAGCGGGATTGTGCCCTTCAGCCATTTCTTAGGGGATACAGCCAATACGCACAGCGATTTACCGGTCGACAGAAGGCACTGGAACATTTTAAGGTAAAGGTTTTCCCGTTTCGCAGACGGCCTGTTTTTGACTTAATGTAAGATTGCACCATCACCAACCATATCCACTCCTAAAAATTTGCCCCTTTCCCAACTTGTACATCAAGTTTTTATAAATCGCATATAAAAAATACTAAACATTTTGGTTTTTATCCCATCCACAGAAACAATACCCTGAGGCTGTCATGTTACCTCTAGGTTCCATTGGTTCAACTCTGAAGTTTAGCAGGCCTTCACAGGGCAGGTCAGTCATATAATTCCTTTGTCTAGGTATGGAAACTGAATAAACCATTTCCTTTTTACAATGCCAGCAATGGTGCCCCAAAATACCGTAGTCTCTGTCCTTATCAAAGACATGCTTTCCCATGTTAAGCAAGTTTCAGAGGCGTGCTGTCTTGCAGCCCTTGTAAAGTGACAAATGTGGCTTTACAAGAGAGAAATCATTTGAGTCTACCGCACTGGCCACATAGTAAGCTGTCAGTAGTATTGTTTTATATCCTTGTCCAGTGTGTGCCATGTGTAGTCATGAGGAAGGAGGAGTTATTTCCAATAAAGGGTAATATGGCCACTGTTGCCATCAATTCAGAGTAATACCGAGTTGTTGAGCATGTTTACTGTGTCCAAATCTCCAGTACCAATCACTGAATCACTGAACACCATCAGTCATTTTACTATTTGCTGGACCAGACTTTTAATACTGGAGCTAGACTTTAATAGTAGAGGATTCCCGGACCATTCCATTTAGCTACAACATTGCCTTGAGTAATGGCGCATTCCAAGAATTAATCAAACCGAGACTGTATTTGGCTCGGTAAATCACAGCAGTCGGGACTGGAGTGACCTGAAACGCAACGTACTATAAAATGTGAAGAGGTCCAATATTCGGATCCTAGCAGAATCCTGCTCAAATGCAGAAGTACTTGATGTTATTCAGATATTTTTCCCCGCCAGCGTTCAGTACATCATCACCTGGAACATCGGGCTTTCTTCTACCGGCAGAGCAGATCAACAGATATCACTTCAAGTAATGCCATCCAAGCAAAGTAAGTACAGAGTGAAGGGGAGCTGTCTGCTGTACACAGGTCCAGTTTTACTGGGAATAGTTTGTAAATGATAGATGTTGTATTGTGTGGAGATTTCTGTTCATACACCTGGGAATTTGACAGGGATTCATCAGCAGGCACAATTTGTCCAGAGATCTTACTTGTATTTAATTTCATCCCCGTCAACCACTCTTTTCTTAGTGGTCTCTTAACTTTGCATGTAGTGATGATTTGAAATTTGATTCTGTTGAAACGTTTGTAGAAACCCTTTGATCTTCCTAATAAACAAAATGTGTGGAATTCTAATTTTGTCCAAAGTGAGGCAGCTGGATGAGCAGAATGTCTTGGCCTCGGCACCAGAGAGGTTCCAGCAAATGCTTCATAGATTGGGCATAGAGAGAACAATAGACAGCTTCATCCAGGCAGTCACAACGTAACGAGGCTCACCTTCTCTCACGTCTAGAAACAGCAGCAATAAATGCTGCAGAGACTAGACATAGAGGGGTAGTTTCATTCACTGAGTCACGGCATAACAAGGCCTTACCTTCTTTGGATCCACATGCAGAGGTGACAAGTGCCACAGGGTTGAGGTAGAATGATAGCTTCTGCCAAAATCCACGACATAGTGAGGCTCACCTCCTCTGTGTCTATGGGCAGACAAGCGCTATACTGCATGGAGAGAACGATATCTTCAGTCAGGCAGTCACACAATAGTGAGGCTTACTTTCTCCATATCTATAGACAGTGATGACAGATGCTGCGGAGACTTAGACATAGAATAATGAATTCACAAAGGCAGTCACCACATAGCTGTGTCTTTCACAGCCATTGGTGACAAATGCTACATACCTGGAACAGAGAGTACAGCTTCCCCGCATCACTACTGGTAATGACAAAGCTTCAGGGACTTGGAGCAGGGAGAATCACAGCTTCTCTGTAGACAATGGTGGCAAATGCTACAAAGACTGAACAGAGAACAGTGGCTTCATCGGGGCAGTTGCATCATAATGAGGCTTACCTTTTCTGCATCTGTAGATGGCATCAGATGCAACCAAGACTGGATATTGAGAAAACCACAGCTTCATCAACATCTGACCTAAAAATGCCACAGAGGCTAGATATAGAATGATGGACAGCTTTATGGAGACAGTGACAACATATTGGAGCCATAATGATAAATGCTACATCGAATCAGGCCAGGGATATATTGACCCAAGATAGAGCTGACCTTTGCTTTTCCCACTCCAAATACAGGATCCTCAAGAGATCTCATGTTTACCGATCTAGAATCCGGCCAAGTCATAAGTCTGGAGCCACGACTCACATCACTTCCTCATCACTTGCTCATTTCAGGCACAACGGATCCTCAAACTCGGTGTTTATGAATGTGCATAAATCATTTCAACATCCAGTTATTTTCAGTCGCCAGTATACAAAGTGCCCAGTTCAAGCTGTAAATCATTCTTCAGCGTGGAGTTAGTTTCTACTGTTGTAAATGCATCATTTGTGTGTGGAAATAAAGTTTTCCAATCCTGATGTACAATGGGCAGCGGACCCAATAATCTGTTTTGTAGAATTACTGGTAAATCTCTGCCTGTATTTCATTACACCACAGATCTTATTTCTCAAACAATCCATCTATAAAAACTTCAGTTTCATAGCCTGATGACAAGTGAGCGTTGACACCAAGAGGCAGAGTGAGTTGAATTGAGGTGAGTCGAAGTTAAATCTTTGAAGTATCAGAAACGGACACTTCTTGGTGGAGGAACGTGAGTGGTTCAACAGGATAGAGTGATGTCTGGCAGAATCAGCTAAGGAAGATGAGAACCTCCCAAGCAGCATTTTAATCCCATGAAGGGGCACAAGGTAGAAAACGTGTTTTGCTAAAATTAATATTTATTAACTAACCTTAAAAAGTAGGTATAAATGCACAGCCAATCCCATTAGTCAAGAGCTCGTAACAAGAAAGCTGGTCTTGAATGCTTGACAAAGCACCAGCTGGCTGATAAAAAACATTTCTGGTGTCACATGAAATTTAAACTCCAATGAAATTGGTCCCTTTTCCCTTGCATTGGTTGAATGCTTACAATCTTGACTTGTCTGTGCAGTATTGCCATCAAGTCCCAAATACATGTGTACACATGTATGTCCAGGGCCTTAGCCACTGCACCACTGTCTCATCTGAATTGAACACCACTTGAATTGAATTGGCCATAAGTCCCGTGAAGTGACCTATTGCATATAAACGTGGGGTTCCTGTATACTTCTCATCTTATAAAAAGAAAAAAAATTCAAACTGATACTCGGCTTGTTTTTTTTTCCTGATTATATGTTTAATTCACTGCTATTCCGACAGTGTTCTAAAATATTCAGGAAAAATGAAATGTGCATTGGCATACTCAATGAGGCTTAATAATTAGATTTTTATTACATTATAAAGTCAAATGAAGTCAACACCTGTACTGAAAGTGAATATGTTGTGATACGAGGGGATATTTCATTCTTGACATTTTTCTCCTGAACCATTTGTATGAAAATAAAACTTGTACCTTATAAATATCTCTCAACACGTCCACTGTGAATAACAAAATTCTCAGTGGAATTAAAAGCAAAACTCAATTTATTCTTCCAAGAGATAATTTTGATTGGAAACGATTGCTGCAAATTAGGGCCAATTTTTAAAGCATTGTTGCCGAAATAGAAAAATTAAGATACTCGGGTCAAATAGTGGGACCAGCGGTGATTCAGACATCAGAAAAATTAATGAAATATTTGTTCAGAAATCTAAGTCTTTTTTGTAAGACAAGATGTTACCAAAATTAAAAGTTCATAATCTGTACAGGTCACTCAGTAATGAATCATCACCCTCAAAATATCTGTTCCTAAACCTAGGACTTGTCAGTCACGACTTCAGAGCGCATTGCAACCAAGCAAACCAAGATGGTAAACCTCAGAATACCTTTTAATGATGGAACTAAAAACTCGGAGTCTTTAAGACCATTTATGGAGAGCAAGACGTGTAGGGGCATGGCGTGAGACTGCAACACTTTCAGAAAAACAGAACGCAGAAACAAAACATTTCCATCTAAATCTAGAGATTTATTTTTTTCTTATGCTGTGAACACATCAAACGTGGCAAGTACGGCCTGAAGTTATCAGTGAAATACGAAATACAGAACGTTTCAGTGAACTCAGTAAGATTGGGTTAGAAGATGTACAATCTCGCAACATGAAAATCTGTTGCTAAAGAACTTCAAAACTACATGCGCGGTTTCAACAGTGAGATTTAGTTTGGGTGCAGGTAGTGCACTCAATTTTATTAGAAGACTTCACAGAGTTAATACAAGTTGGACAATCTTCCTCTTGGGAGTAGTAATGGTTAATTTGGACGAGACAGTTCAGTTCATCGCTTGCATGAACACCGAGGATTCTACACACTGTTTAAAAACCAAGAAAAAAACCTTTTCACTTGCTGAAAAAGGGAACAAATTTAATTCTTTATTTCTTTAAAATATGAATACGTCAGACAAAGTGATCTCCATGACTGTTCCCTACAGTTATTTCACCATTCCTACTAAATTTATAATAAGCTCACCCAGTCTAAAAGTAGCCACGGCTCAAGTCAATTCAATGTCTACAGAACGGCACAGTCAATGGAAAACTTTGTGTACAAGCATTGGAATTTCACAAGGAGGCAGTGGGTCACATTTGGTCAACGAAGAACCCATTAGCTGGACAGATTTGGCCATCTAATAAATCTACTGGAACGTATATATATGCCCCAATGCTGTATTCCACCTCTTTTACGGATGGGGGAAATGACCAAATTGAGAAGTGAATTTTGCATTGTAGCCTTTTTGGTGCATGGTGACCAGTCAATGGACGCATTCAATCCACTGAATCTATGTTAAACGCCTGTGCCATCTTTGATCCTGCATATTTTTCATTAAAACCTTCACGATCACTTGTCCTATTATGCACACTAAAGTACTTCCACATCTAATTCTGACTAACTGATAGGAAACAAGGGAACAGCGAAAACAGTTTCAGTAAGAAGTCCTGTCAGTGGCAACATTAACCAAAATCCTGCTTTAGCTTGCACTTCTGGCTTCTCGCTGTTACCTGCAATAAAAGCCTCACCAGGCTTTTATGAGTAAGGCTGCATAGCCCCCCGAACATGTTCAGCAGAAAAGGGTCCAAGACCTTCAAGTAGAACATGAAAACAGGATAGTAACGCTACCATTTTGTTCATGCTTATGATGTGCATCACGACAATGAGGTCAAAATATAATGCATGTCACAATCTGCAGCTATTTTACTGTGCATGTTACTGGCAGTCATGGTAGTCATTTGACACGTGTGGATCTCTCTATGCCCTACAGTGAATGTGAGTTTTTTCCAACACGAGTTGCATGTGTGTTGGGTTTCTCATCTTGCTGATGTTGACAATTCTGACGAGCTGCAACAACTGCTGATCTTTTCTTGATACTGCAGAAATCCTTTCCAAACCAGTACACTTTTGTTCACAATTACATGTAAAATGTGTTGTCCACAAAGTTGGACTTCCCATGCATGGAACTTGTTGATCTGATCTGTAGTTATTCACAACCGTCTACTGAGATACAACCATCCATATTGTTACGTCATATCACAGCATCAATAGATCATTACAACCCAAGTGGCTGAGCCCAAGGGCATATTTCAGAATACTAATAAAAGAAGACTAAACAAGACCAAAAGAAATATGGATCAACTTCAGGTGTTTGTTTTTGAGGTGTTTTACAAGGTCGTAACTTGCGTATTTACCATCCTACTTGTACTTGCATTATCCAGGTCAAGTAAAACAAAAAACAAGGCAGGCAGAAAGTACCTCCCCCATAAGAGTTAATTTTTAAAAACATCTCTGTATTTTCCAACTGCCAATTTATCGTAATTACCCATACAGACTCTAACAAACTGTTTAATTGTGGACCTTAACAAACATGTATTTGGGAAGGACACACTGCATTTTAAGGTATCTCTGACAAATTTATGCCCAACTTTTCAGAAGAAAAAACTCTCAAATCTCTTTCTAAACATTAGAAATTGCAATCAACCCGTCAAGTGTGACATAAATAATCTCATCTATGTACAAGTCAAAAATCATCATTCTAATTTTACATCACGTTAAAAAGTGTGCCCAACACAAGGTGAGACCGTATCATCAACTAGGAAACACTACGGAGTACTGTAATTTTGTTATTCAAGCATTTCTGTGATTCTTGAGCTGAATGCAAACACTGCAACGTTCAACATTTCATAGAGTTTACTCGGAGTACAATGTGCATGTACAGCTGAGCTCACACTGGCTTCATGCACAACCAAGAGAAGGTGCTCTTTATACAAAGCCTTCCCTAGGTGACACTGTGTGCAAGTGGATGTGGCTGCTCTCCCAAACAAAAAAAATTATCCATTCACAAGTTTTGAAGCATCACTGGCATTCACCTGGCAGACAGTTTGACAGTATGTACCGGTAATCCGGTATTGTCACAAATCCCATAGTAATCTTTGCCCAAGAACAGGGCACAGCAGAAGAAAGCATTCAACAGACCTGTTACATCACGGCATCAGGCTTTGTTTACTTGTGCACTTCCCTATGGCAGTCAGGTGGGACACAATCCATTAAGATCCCACAGGAAAGCACATATGTAAACAAACATGACTGTCATTGGTATGTAAAGTCCAAAGGTCGTGGCTATGGCCATCCACAACGCATGCACCAATGAGGGCCAAGTCAGCCTCCACTGCCAACAGATGTGTACAGCCGCAATCAGAGTAATTTATAAAATAAAAGAAATCAACAAAAAACAGCCACCATGAACAGCAGTACTTAATGGGGATTGGTCTGACATTGTCACATTATCAACAAAGGCGGCACTGCAAGATGGGACAGGTTATTCTTGAATGAGCATTTGAAAAATCATGAAATGACTAATTAATCATTTCCATTACAATCACTTGTGATTGCGGTTCTATTTGTGTAGATGATAAATTCTAATCTACAGGAAACACCTGTGGCTTTAGTACAACGTATTTAAAGCCTTGCGGCGAGTGATGTTTCTAACATGTATCTATAAGAAAATAAATTTTACAACATATTCCTTTGTTCTGAATAAAAACCAACTGAGAAATGCGAAATTCATGTTAAGCAAAGGCTAAAAAATCTTGTTTGAAAAAAAAAGGACATGAACTTTGGTGAAGTAAATTTACACACAGACTAAAAATGTGACTTGAACTCTAAAGCTTGCAAAAGCTGTGTCACAAAGCAAGAACAAAAACCAGTTTACAAGATTTGGAGAATTCTACAAAAATACATAAAACATTTCGGTAAGAGATTCAATATTTTCTATTGCACAAAAAACTCAAAATGTAAGACATGAAATAACTATTTTTAAAGAACTTTGAAATCCAACTTTTTAAGGAAAATTTCTTTTGAACATACTCTAACACTTGTATTTCTTTCCAATTCCAAGAATTCTTAAAGATTGTACATTTAAGCATGCTACCCACCACATCTCTCCTAAATCTATGATTGTGAGTTTTATGTGTACAGTTCACAACTCCTCACAGTGTGCATCCAAATTGTACGTGCTGAATAGTTACATAAAACTAACTTTTCCAAATGTGTTTACACTTTGCATTATAAGTACACGGGGCTCTGGCAATAATTCTGAGATTGAAAAGGTTTGGTTCTTTGCTGGAAGGAAAAGGCAGCCGGACAGTACTTTTTCATCTGAAGATTTAAATTAAGGAGCTGTTGGTACATTCAGGGCTGGGCTCGAATTCACGCAAGTGCTAAGTAAATGCAGAAAATCACAGCAAAAATTCTTCCCAGCAAATGACAATGTAGCATCTTAACCACATCGCCCCGGGGGCATTTATGAATGTTGATACTGCTGGGACGGGATCTTTTTCATTTTTTTCTGTTTGCAAAATCTTTAAAACTTCATATCTTCATTTACTAGACACTTACACCCACACGAAGGATTGTCTGGTTTCTACTCTAATCTGACAGACAACATCTATTGACGCTGGAGTATTTCAGCCAGGCCTGCAGCCTTGTAAAATGAGCCCAGATTGTGCGGTGTTACATAATTTTCTTTTGTTCCCAAAACTGGCACAGTGCACTGCTGATCTCTTTTCAATAGGGGCTAGATTAGCGTGCACCGGTAACCATGTGGCTCGTCGCTGTGGTGGTGGAGCGCTTTTGTCCCTGGTGGTAATCCGATCGCACTAAATGCCCCAAACCGTGGTATACTGTTTCAAAAAATTACTGGATTTTCTCCACTATTGACAGTGAAAAAATGTTGGTAATTCCCAGCAGCCTGGTCTTTTGTTACGATTACGCTCTATTGTTACAAGGCCCAGTTCCTTTTGTCCAATTTCAGAGATCCCAGCTATGCATATAAAGAATACGTGCCCGAAACGGGGCTCCCTGGTCAACCACTTTCTGCCGGGGAGCCCAGTTTCGAGCACATAGGCTTTATACACAAAACCAGGGAGCCCGAGTCCGGAAATAAGAGCTTAGGCCTTATAACAAAAGACCCTGCTTGGAACAAAAGACCGCGCTGCTGGGAATTGCTAACATTTTTTCAGTTGTCAACAGAGGAGGAAATCCATCACTGTTTTGAATTATACCACTGCTTGTGGCATGCAGTGCAAGCGGATTACCACTGGGGACAAAAGCGCTCGAGTGATGAGCAACACAATACCGCTGCACGCTAATCAGGACCCGATAGAAAAGACGCCAGCCGCGCACTGTGCTAGTTTCGGGAACAAAAGAAATGTATGTTACACCACAAAATCTCTTTTTTACCAGGCGGCAGTCCTGGTTAAAATACTCAGGCATCAATAGATGTTGTCTGTCAGATTAGAGTAGCCAGCAGACAGTCATTCGTGTGGGTGTAAACGTCCAGTAAATGAAGCTATGATTTTTTGAAGAATTTTGAAAACAGCAAATCTTGAAAATCTCCCGTTTTACGTCATGCAACTTCAAATTACACCCGGCAGCAAGTGGTTAAAGAAACCCAGCCGAGGACCAGCAGATGCAGAACGCATCAGGTGACAGGATATCTTAGCAAGCGATCTGTTTCGGCCAAATCAAACTGTTAATTTTGCTGAGCTGACCAATCATTGACTGCATTGAGTGGCTCTACAAGCTACAGTTCCTTTTCAGTGAACCGGTGGCCGACTTCACTGCTTTGTACAATGCAGAGGGCATACATAAGGACGGTTGATGGCTGATGGAGGGACAGGTGTAGCACACATAGCTAGAGGTGGCTTAAGCTGAATACTGTACATCAGTTACTACACTACCTCACTTTTATGGTTCAATTTTTACAAAGTAAAGAATTTCCAGTTTTTAAAGTACGCTCTGGGATGGGATTGTGTGCTTCAGATGGTAGTAATGAATTCAAAAAATGTCATGTGAATTTTTAATAAATTCTCTCAAGGCAGTTCAACGACCGAGGCATATATTTTTACAACAAATTAATTGACTCTTAAAGTTTGTCAGAGAGCACTGGAGGGTATAAGGAATGTTGAACAAGTATTGTACTATCAGGAACCATGGCAAGATGGAAATTAAATCCTACCATCAGAAAAACACAGGAACAATTCTGAATAGTACTGGTTGTATATATTTAACTCCATATGCAGAAGAACACCTAACTCAGCAAACTCGGAACTTCAGAGAATATCGGCAACTTTCGGGCCACTGCTTTAAAATCATATTTACAAGATTGGTCGATATGTATTCAGCAAGGAATAAGATGGCATTGTGAGCTGTAAGCAAATAAAATCAACTGGAGTTGCATACTTGAAGTTTTCAGTGACCCACGGAAGCAAAACATAAAACATTTAAGCTTCAGATAGGTGTACAAGGGACATGCTTGAATGATTTTTTTCCACTTTTCAGTTCCCATTTTTCATGTCACATTTTTCCAGTTGTCTCTTTTTCTTCAGTTCACTTTTTGTTTTTATCATTCTAAGCTTTGGAGCTTACGAGGAACTTTTTAAATTCCTTTTCAGGGCTGAAAACTAAATGCCAACAAGCATGTATTCAAGGTCTAATTTCTTAAAGCAAAGACGGTTCCACAAACTGACTGAAATGTCTTTCTTTTTCTCTACATTTTAAGAAAACTTTTTGTTTATTATTATTCATTACTTTGTATGGAAATCGGGGAAGTTTTTTATTTACTTCCCTTATCAGCTTTGGTTGGACAGATGCCAACTATACCCTCTTGATTCCTTCACAAAACCTTGCCTGCACGGGGAAATCCACAAAGCTCATTAGCGAGGGTAATCTTCACTGACCGACTGCTCTCAGGTTGCAAAGAGTTGGGACCAAGGTGAGCATTATCCGCACACTCCACAGTGCCTTGTTATTTCTTCTTGCCAGTTATTTCCTTCTTGGTTTCAGGCTGTGCAGGTAGGAAAAAATTAAATCAGCAAGCATTACAATTCCTAATGATACTTCCTAGACAGAGAGTAAAGCCTGGTTTCCATATCGACGTAAGAAACGCAGCCAAGATGGAAACTGCACCGCAGACATATGGAAATATGCCTAACGGAGGTATCACCAACAACACAGACAAATTCAAACCAGCCCACGAATGATTGGCAAAATTGAGCCAGGTTTAACTTCGCCGACAGTCTGCGTCGAGTAGCAGTGGTATCCCCTGTATACAAACATGCATGCTGGCATGACCACTGTGCAATCCATGTCCTCACTCAGTTCCTCGAATTTTGCCCATTTTCTCCTTAATGCTTAAATATTACACCCTTATGATAAAATAGCTGACCATCAATAAAATGCATGGAACTGGCGTACAGGTTTGGCATCGTGAGGCAGTACAGTCAATCTAAATGGGTATTTTCTGCAAAAAAATCACGGCGTTCGGACGCCATTTTGTTTAAATTTTTGGGTGGAATGACGCCATGCAAAATCTCTTTCATTTGTGTCTGCCTCTAATACCTCTTGAGGACCATCTGTGTTACAAACACCCATATAAGCCTAAGCTTAAACCTCAACCATTTTTTATTTAAGGCAATGAGACATATTACCGACCTTGCTGTTCTGGTCTCATCATAAACACTGCCTGGATAAGACCATTCATGCTTACCTACTATGCAGCAATGTAACGTGAGAAATTTCAGAGGAAGCACACCAGAATACAAACATTTTGTCACGGGGGAACTGAAAGCAAATCAATGGTGGCTTTAAAATGGAGGGGGGGCACTTGGGGGCACAACCTTCTGCTGGGGGCACATCCCCCCATTTTTACACAACTGCCACTATGGTTAAAGTCCTTGACTAAAAGTGGCTCTCATTCATGCCAAATGAGTCACAGAAAGGGCTTCTTCAAAAATAGTAAACAATCCACTTTATACGCTTTCCACAGAGGCTGAAAAATTATTTGGGAGTTGACATCCTATTTCGGGAAACAACACTTCACATACACAAGATGAAGCCTGACAAAGTCTGTGCACAGCTGTACAAAAGAATGATAGTCATTGAATTTAAACTGTTCGAAGGCCTTTCATACCAAAAAATTCAGAGGTACACTCATATGAACTGAGGCACTGCAAGATGTTTGCACTCACCGGCAGTATGGAGAAGGAGCAAGTGAGGTCCTCAGTGACAATCATCACACCGGCAGCGTTGTCAAACTCGCCGCAGTAGTTGGGAGCACTGAACAGCGTCACCAAGTTCCTCTTCTGGAAAAACTGGTACCCGTCTTCAACGACCTGAAAAGGAAAATGAAGTGATGACACAGGCAACAAAAGTGGAAACATGGAAATACCTACACATACATCTGCCTCCTCCATTGCTAGAACTTGAAAACTTGCTAAAATATTTCTACCCAGGTAAGCAGCTTGTTATTTATGATGGAAAGATGTGTTCATGGGGGGGGTGGGAGGTGCCCGTCTATCACGTTCAGCAAAGAGACCTGCAGAGTAAACCAGTGCCCATCTTTAATCAGACAGAGCTGCTACCTATAACTGCCATAAAATAGATCTCGTTTCACTTTGTTTCAACAGGTCCACTATCAAAAGGTAACAAACTGCAAAAGATTACATTTTTAAATTGCTCTGATGCAGAAATGCTAGGTTTGGAGACCACATTCAGAGATCACGTCGTTTCAATAAGTCCTTTGTGAGTAACCTTTGAACAAAATCTGGTACAGTCGACTCTCGTTATTACGAAATCCGCGGGACCACATAGAAACGTTCGTTGTATCCGAAATTCATCGTAGGCGGAATGCAGAGTGATGGCTTTGGTGCATCGTTGTACAATGCCATGTACATGCATATGCATGTGTATGCATGTATGTGCATACACATGAACCCGTGGTTGATGTTATATCAAAAAGATCTCTCGGTTATAACTAATTAAATATATTGTGACGTGTTTAGAATAATAAAATTCACTGTCATACGAAAACATGTTTAATGTGCATGTGAGATTTAAAAAAGCAAATACATGTACATGTGAAACCATCGATACAGGCATCGCCATGGATGACAACGAAGCTAAACGGCATGCACATGTAGGCCTGTGTGTACCTGCAAGAATGTGAAGACTCATCAACTGAAGCGCCCATCCATGTACGTAGTCTTTCCAACACAAATTGTGTCATGGAGAGACATTTTTATTAATTTCCATCTGTCATCTGATTTTGGACACAAGCTGCATGACACGATTGATCGATAGTCCGTGTTCACTCGCCCACTTCAGCGCGGCCTCCCGCGTGCGAGATAGTCATTGAAGAGGCATGATGTCATGATGTTTGTGTAATTAATGTAAAACATCACTGATTATTGAATTGTGCTTTATGCTTGTCATTGTCATGACTACAGGAAACTGGCAAACGATGTCTGTGTATCGCACTGTAAGCGTGTGTGACGCATATGGAGGAAATTTTGTGGAAAGACGCGTGTTTCGAGTACGAGCAAATGAAATACATGAACACAGAAAACACAAACATAGGCATGAGATCACATTTTGTGCATGAACCTGCAGAAAAATTTGTGACTGCAATGTTTTATCGACTTGCAACTGTAGAGCTGCATTCGTATACAACGTTTGTGTACTGCACATGTAGTGGAACGTTCGCGCCCCTTTTTGGCAGGAGCTGTACAATGACTGGTTGCCGCCTTTCCGTCATGCCTTCTTTGGCAACGGTTCGGCCTGGCCGGAACCAGTGTGATGCACTGCACACGTGTTTTCACCACCGCGATTTGCAAACATTTGTTATAAATGGGTTATCAACAATGGTTTTTCAGGCATTGGAGTCACGAAAACCATTTGTTGTATTAGGAATTTCGTACAATGTGATTTCGCTGTAACAGATTTTTTCCCAATAGAGATGTGCACGTTTTTGCCGGGACCACAGACTTGTGTTTGTTATAACCGGAATTTCGTTATAGCAGATTTCGTAATAACGAGAGTCGACTGTATACCGTGCTATCTTATTTCACATAAACATAACGATTCAAATTCCCCAGACTAAAGGCACTGTTGTTATACCTCGTGATTCAGGGCAAGCTTTTGCTTAGTTACATAACAGACGCCTGGCATCAATACACTGTTTTCAATGGATGAGAAGGGCACAAAGGAACCGGTCCATTCCAGAGATGGTGTTCAAAGGTTACTCGCAAATGGCTTATTGTAACAAATATGTCCATATTTTTGTCCAATCATTTTGGACTCTAACCTGGTGAGCCCTGACTATAAGGCTGAGGTCGTTCCTCTTCAAGAAGTGTCGTACCACGTCGCCACCAAAGGTGTAAGACACACCGCGATCATTCTCCCCCCAGCCTGTGATATCCTGTAAACATCAGAAGAAAGACTTCCAACTCTCATCTGTTTGTTTTTGAGAAGACTGCGAAGTGAAGGGCAGAAAGCTCTTTTGAAAGTTACAAGGCGACTTCAACTGTGGTACATTAATGCCACATTTAATTCTAGAGCTCTTGATTATGGGTAAAATGTACACGAAAGCCAGATATGCAAAGGACACAAGCAACCCTCTCCACCGTCTACCCATACCTCAGCCATAGGTTCACACACTCTGGTTAAAAATTAAGAATATAAAATTCCCAGTCTACAACTAGCACATCGGGCAATGGATTCTAAAATTTACATATCCCATGGTACAATTGCAGATCATCACAGAAGTTTGGGGAATAGACAATGGTGTTAAAATCAAAGATACATTTGTATTTTGGAAGTCAAAGCTTACTTGACAATGGATATATACAGAATCCAATTATGGGCACACAGAGAATTTGGGTTGTGACTGTCTCTAATTTTTTTCCCAGTTTCCATTTTGTCTCTAGCCTTCAGTAGATTTTAACCTTGTCATTTATGAATTCGATCAAATCATTTGATTCCTTTTTAAGCACTTTTTGCAGCTGGCCCAAACTATCTGACATCCAAAAAGATTCTCAGCAATTTACACTAAACTTTAGAGATTAACCCTAACAGTCCTGAATCCTCCAATTTTAGTATGATTTTGCATGCACCCTAGGGAGTTAGGGTTAAGGCTGCTATGATAGAAGACATAAGTGGAATTAATAGTAACACTGGGACTGGAGATGATCCTTATACTTACATCATCTGGATCAGCCCACAGTAGATCACAGACAAGGCCATGGTCAGGAATGTCTAAGGGTCGATTGATATGCCTCAGCTGGTCCACAGTAGACAAGTCAGGAGACAGCCCTCCATGCATACAGAATATCGTTCCTTCCACTAAGGCCGCTGTGAAAACACAAGCATGACCATTCAAGTTACAATCTTTATTGCAAAGAAATAGGAAAACGACGGATGAATGTCAGAAGAGATTTTTTTTGGACCACAAAAGGAGAGTGGAGAGTACGGGTGCATTTTAAAATATTACTGTGTAATTTTCTTCTCCTTTCCAAAGACATCACAAGGAAATCCTGCTACAATTTGTTTCATCCTAGGAATGTATGTCAAGCACCACACAAGTATGGGACCCCTACAGAAATAGACCCTGGTATAGTTGTTTTTCACACAGAGTTCATATTTCATAACACAAGGGCATACTAGCATTACAGCCCGGCAAGACTGTACAAAAAAAGAGAAGGATAATACCTTCAGTTGGAGTCATTTACTGAATGCTGAAATGTCTGACCAGTGAGCTATTTCTCCTCTTTTTCTTTAATCCTTTTAAGATGCATGGCAAATATCAGGCCAGAGGACGCTCACTGTAAGCTTACTTTCATGCCTAGCCATAACAGTAATTACAGCAATCACAGTTCTGCCTCAAGGGGTTTAGAAGATCAAAAACGGAAAAAAAAAGAAAAGGTAGCATCACAGTTTTACCGTATGCTTCACCTTTTCCTTTTTTAAATTTCCCCAGGGGGCTTAACAAGATGTGAAGGCATAACAACTGAAGCCCCCACGTGCTGATTTTCTTGGGGGGGGGGAGGTAAGCAGTACGTCATTGAAATCATCTAACACAGCCTACACAAGGTTCAATAGCCTCTCATAACTACAAAAACAAGGAAGAAAAGGATACAAAAATAGTGCTCGACAAACAGCTCCAAAGCAATTGGTGGACAAAACGGGGCAGCTAGAGTGAAATCTCCGGGGGGGGGGTTAGATACCCAGGGGAGGAACAAATTTTTCCAGGGGGCACCAAGTGCTAATGAACTGTGACTTGTGCATAAGGTTGTATGTACTTTAACATTTCAAATGGGATACAGATTTATGCATCAAGTCTTACAGCATTTGGGATTTCTGAGAAATTCTTTCTCGACTCCCTGACTCAAGTGCCTGGGGGTTCTCATTATTATGTGCACAGCGACAAGTTCAGTGCAGACAATGAAGCTGCATTTCAAGAGTCCACATATGGTATTACACTTCGCCAGGTGTTACTGCTTTCACGGCTCCATGTTGCTATGTACATGTACACATAAGAATTACAGTAGCAACAGGCATCATCATGCAAGTGCCAACGAAAGTCACAAGTTATAGCATTAGCAGCTTGATCTACATGTATTTCCCATTAGTGCAAGTGCAATACTGTCAGGTGTAACCCAGTGATACTGACATGGCCTGCTTTCCGTCAGTATTTGAGTACCCAGGATTATTATTTTGGATTAGCTACCCTGACTGGTGCAAGGTCTCCTGCTAAATTGACCTTACACCCCCAAAGGAATGATCAGGCAATTAGAAGCCAAACCTTGTCCCGGTAACTATTATCCCCACCCAGCGATGATGCGAAACCCACCAAAAGCTGTTACAAACCAGAGAGAAGACATTCATTTGGTATTCTCCACACTTCAAGAATGATTTCACAAGTTGGAACTTGGACCATAGGTATGGCACAAGACTTCCAAATTTGTCTACTATAAAGCCTTCTCTGTCAGTTCCATATTTTGTACAGTCACACATCTTTCAGGGACAGCACTTATCTTTACTTCTAGAGTTTTGAGCAGTGTGGTTTATAGCTCTTTCTTTATCATGAAGGCCTAAAACAAACATCCAAAAACTTACAGGTAGTCCTCAGCTAATCAAAGGTTACATGACTGTGATCCTTGACCTTACCAATTGGCAGACAGTTGAAACAGTCTGTGAATGTTTTCCACAGCTTAATGTTGTACCTGCGTTTGCATTCGTCGTAGAAACCATATATCCTGCATTTAAAAACACATCAAAAACAGGCCAAAAAGAATGAAGTGATGCCCAACTTACATGTGATACAAAGGAAATAAACCTTTTTCTCTGTGAATGATTCAAGAAACCTACTAAACGTTTACTGTCTACTATCTTCAAAAACATTTAAACAGAACACAAATGTCACATGTTGCACTTTTCACCTTTCATTCATGCCATGTGCCTTTCTGTTTTAACCCCTTGCCCTCTGGGTTTCCGGTATCGGACACATATTCTTTATACGCATGGCCGGGGTCTCCGCAATCGGACAAAGAAAACTGGGCCTTGTAACAAAGGACCATACTCATAACAAAAGATCAGGCTGCTGGTCATTACCAACATTTTTTCACTCTCAATAGTGGAGATAATCCAGCCTTGTTTTGAACTGTATACCATGGATTGGGAGATTTAGCGCAAGTGGATTACCACCGAGGACAAAAGAACTCTACCACCGCAGCAATGAGCCACACAGTACCACTGCTTGCTAATCTGGCCCCTATTGAAGAGAGGTCAGCAGCACACTGTGTCAGGCTCCTGAACAAAAGAAAATTATGTAACACCACACAATCTGGGCTCTTTTTACAAGGCAGCAGGCCTGGCTGAAATACTCCAGAGTCAATAGATGTTGTCTGTCAGATTAGAGTAGAAACCTGACAGTCCTTCTTGTGGGTGTAAGTGTCCAGTAAATGAAGATAGGAATTTTTAAAGAATTTTGAAAACAGAAAAAAGTGAAAAAGATCCCACCCCAGCATCATCAACATTGATAACTGCCACTGGCACGAAGTGGTTAATTATATACTAACAGAAGCAAGCTCTAAAGCAACAGAGGCACCTCAGCACTTAATTACATTTCAGAAGTTCAATTTACACACTTATCAATGACCAATGCACATTCATTGCACATATCTGTGTTGTTATCCACACAGTACCTAATTAGTGAGTTTAATATTTTCAAAAACAGTGCTGAGCAAAGATCTTTGCTCAATGCAGTCTAAATGTGAACATTTAAAATACATGTAAATGTATCTGCTTAAAACAAGAGTCTAAATAATTAATATCACACTGATATTGAGTTCTTATTGTGGGTAGAATGCACATATTTTTCACATGACAATGTTCCAGAAATGTGCCATTTTTCATTTGATTTGGGTTTTACATGAATATGTGCCTCCATTCTTCCCTGAGAGCACATCCCAAAATTGTTCTGTCCATATACCATACATGAAATCTACGGACAAGAGGGATTCCATGTAAGTCAGAGGTGTTTTGCCTGGAGACAGTTCTTCTATGCAGTTTATGCATGTACAGGTACATGTACATAAACAAGAGCTACATGTATGTTTAACTTGGCTATCAGTTGATGCAATCTAAGACTGGTCCAAATGTGCTCATATCTGCTTGTTCTTGAAATGGGCATAATTTATTCCGCCAGACCATCTGACCTGAATGCTGTTACAGTCATGCTGAGAAAGTCTGACAATGGCAACAGAAAAAAATTAATGCCAAGGTCAATCAATTGTCAAGCTACACAACCTGTCTCCAAGGCTTTGAATGTACATGTACATGTAGATGCAGCTACCTAACTACTCCTACTTATACAGAGTCAATAGTCTTGACAAAACAGCTCAATGTACCGGTACATGTACGTGCAGATCTTAATTTAGCCACTTTTTTTTCTATGGAAAATTTTTCATAAAAAAGGGCTCCTGGCTATAGTTTAAAGTCAAACCTATATTGAAAGGTCAAATGCCTTAAAAATCTCCTCCTTAGCTAAAATTCACTGGGCCGATGGGTCAGGACACTGCAGTGATGTTTGATTAGACTCTCTAGGCAGACGGAGATCACATCACAGCGATGACTGATTAGTCACTTGGTGCCGGATTACCAAGTCGGTTCAAGCATGGGCCGCCGAGTGGGCGAGTAAACATGCAAGCCCGGGAGGAGGCAACCAAGCATGTCCAAATTGCAGTTGTTTCTTCTGCTCTTGCCAGGTCACAAGAGGAGGCGTGCATGTCCATCATCGTCATCTCCACCATAAATTTAAACAGGGAGAGAGAAGTGAGGCCACGGCTGTTTAGGATAAGATGATGGGCTTCCGGCTATTAAACTGTACTTGAATTGCAACCTGGATGACTCTTTCCTTGATGACATTTTTATGCAACTTTTCTGCCCCCTATTCGTTGAGGCTGATGCATAAAGGCCCCTGAGTAAATCAATTAGCGCCTTCCATTACAGTTTTTGCATCAATATATTCCTTCATTGTAGAATCTTTGAGATTACAAGAAGTTCCCAGAGTCATAATTGACAAACCACACATCAGCGTAATTTTTAAATGATGTGCATGTACTCTACATGATTTAAATAAAGACTAGCATGAAAACAAAATTCATCTGAATGCACGAGAGTCAATCACATGATCTCTTGGTTAAGCACCATCGATATATCAATATATTGATATTATCGATATGGGTTTGATATCAATACTGCCAATGTTAGTTATTTGGTGATATCGATATATCGAAAATATCAGATTTTCGAGAAATATCGAAACTTTGAAAAGATCATTATTGAAATTTAAACCAAAAACATCCCTACTCAGGAACAAATTTTATTAAAAGTATGAAAGTGCACCGTCACATTACCGTAATTTTCGATAAGCCAGGGCTTACATTGGTTCTCACGCTAATACCTTTTACACACATAACTGTGCATGTGTCATACATGTATTCACTTCTGTACTCTGTTGTGTCACCATGGGCCTAGCCTAAATACAACCGCACAGAACGTTGGCATTACTGGGCACAGTGCACGTACATGCAGCTAACTTGCATGTAGTCAAGTTTACCTCTTGAGGAAAGACTAGCATGGGGGTTACAGCAATTGATGCATTGACACCAATCCCTACAGAGTGCATGTGCGTATGTCGTATGATTCCGTTGCATCGTCAAACGTGCATGTAGAGTACGTACCGTATACTCTACAATTACTGTATCGTGTTTTTTACATGGTCGAGTTTTTGACAGCTAGTCAGGTAGAATGTAGCTTGCAATGAGGTAAACTTGCAGGGTAACACACAGTTACTACGTTTTCCTCTGAAGTTATTTTTTCTTACATAAGCTTATGGTGCATCTAACTTTTCGGAAGTGAACGTCAACTTTTTCAATTGCATGCACTCGTGGTGCACGTAGAATATTTTTTCCAATTCAAAGCCCGGTTGCAGTTGGTATTTTCTTTCGACATCGGTCTGCAAACTCCACCCTTATTTGCATAATCATAAATATACAGCGCAGTAAAGAAACATAATTCACTGATAATATCCAAAATAACAATGATTGGTTGGTCATTTCAGATATTTCATGAACAAAATTTAAAAAAAATAAGGCAGAACCACTAAGGTTGACATTTGTTTCACTATCCGGGACATTTTGGCACAAAAAATTAAGTTACTTTTTGTAGCTGTGACTAGAAAGGATATAGAGTCCAAAACTGCTCTCACGCTTATCAGTAGATGGCGTGAGATCTATAAGTTAAGATGAAAATGTTTAACATGAATAAATATCGATAATAACGATACAAACAAAACGATATATTGATATCGGCCAAGATACAATATCAACGGTGCCTACTCCAGGTACGGTAAAATGGTAAAAATTTCACGAGAAATTCATTGCACTAGAAGCAATCCTAAATTCCCAAAACAAATTCCGATACAACACTTGACAATACTCATCAGGCACTCCGTGAAGTTCTCCAACAATCACTGCAAATGCAGCACACACACCCACCCACCCGACCTACAATGCACCGTCAGACGTCCTAGCAACCCCAGCCAACGGGCCTGTCCAACCAACCCCTCCCCCCCACACATGTACATGTACCTGTTTATGCTGGCACATTCATGGTTCCCTCGTAGGAGGAAGAAGTTGCTGGGATACTTCAGTTTGTATGCTAACATCAGACAGATCGTCTCCAGCGACTGCTTGCCCCTACACGATAAAGGAAAAAAAAAAAACACTTGTGAGAATTTATGGCGATTAAAATAAAAAGAAGACAGTGGGGGGCAGGAGGGGAGACCAGAACTCCCTTCTGACCTTATTGCTATGATTAATAACCCTGGGGTGAATTTGAGCAGCTATATTCTACACGTAGCAAGTACCTGTTTGTGTTGATGTGACTGTACAGTCAAGTGATGCTTTGGGAAGAAGGGAGGAGCTATCAATTAGGTTTGAAAAATAACAGCAAATGCCAAACTGCACAAATGTTAACAGACAAAAACTCTTCACTAAGGGTGATGGGAAAACCTTTCTTGACTTTTATAAATACAGTAAATATGAAAAATTGAAATAAGATATACATGTACGTATCTATGAATTTTGAGTTAATGCTATCGATTTTGTTACATAAATATGTGTATACCTATGCATCTAGTTTTTAGCATTTATTTCAGCCAGTACATATCAATGGGTAACACTAAAGGAAAAATTGCAACTATCAAAAGTTCCAATTTTATGTAAGGTTTTTGTGAAATTTAGTTGCACTGTGGGGAAGAGTTCCTGCAAATAAGAGCATGGAGACTGAGCAAATACATGTCAATATCATGTTTAACATCGAAAGCATCTGTCATTTGACTTAAACCCTTGTAAAATGAAAGTGACTGCTTAACTGTTTCAGTATGATACTACATAGAAAAGAAAAACCCCTCTCAATGTGTTTAACACATGATGACTTAACTTACATTTCATTTTGTTCTCAATTTGTGTTGTACATGTAAGTATGTAGATGGCCCTCAAAATGTTTACATTCTAGATACATAGCTTAAAGGCCATCAACTATTCATAATGCACGCATCTGTGGCTTGCGCAAAAGAAGGTACATACTAATGATACATGGCAAGTTACTCATCAACTCTGGCTCAAGAGGAAAGGAAATGTTAACCTTTCCTGCTTTTTGCATGGCATTTTGGGGGGGCACGGAAAAGGTCCCACAGAACAAATACATGCGCCGTAAGTGCACCTCTGAAATTATTAAAATATTTTTCATATCAACGCCACTAGTCCTGAATCCAATTCTTGGAATCTTCCACTTGCAAAACACTTTATACAGCCACCCCCTTGGCACAGGTACATGTATTTACATGTACATGTATGTAGATGTACATGCGCAGTGTACCACATCTCTAGATGTTGAACATGCCAAAACCGATACCGGAAAGTATGTTGTTAATACAATGTCAAGTTTATAGCAAGGACAATTTTACTGTAGGTCCCAAGTCTTTGTTTTCCCTTACTGATGATACAAGGTACATGTACATGTGCCTGGTTATATATATGTACCTGTAAGAGGCAATTTGTAAAGAGCCAAAGACGACCTGGCAACAGTGTTCCACCGTACATCTATCACTGACCAGCATTTTGTCAACCTTTAAGTACATTGTTTTACAGCTTCATAACAGTTTCAAAATGATGTCAAAGGCAAAGATCTTTGCTTACTACTTCGTCAACATGTACCTGTAATCAAAGAGCTTGATCAATGTTCAAAGAATGCATACATGTAGAAAGCTTGCTTCTACGGCATCTACCAAATGAAGAACACATGCTCATCCCCAAATGTAAGTGTCCTCCACTTGCTGGGGTTTAGCTCTGCATCTCCATACGTGTATATGGTAGTTTACAACAAGTACACTTGTAAGCTTTCATGTTAGGCCATTAGGTCTATACACTTACAGAGACCTTTTTTACATCATGGTCTTATGTTTTTTGCCTATCAGCAGCTGGCAATATATAGCTGGTTGTCTGTGCAAAAGCAAAAGAAGAATCTACAAAGTTTATCTTAAAAAATTGCATGAAACTACCTGTACATGAAAATACCTAGTAATACATCCTCCTCATTATCATGTACCATACTCTACCAGAGCCTTGGCGACTACTTTCCTCCATTTTGACCTATCTTCTGTTAAGCCTCAAACAGCTGTAGCAGTGAGACCGGTCCATTTCTTGTTGTCCACCCATGATAATCTCTGTCTGCCTCTGGAGTGACTACCATTGGATTTTCCCTCCAATATGGAACATTCCAGAGAGCTCTCGGATCTTAAGACATGGCCAAAGTAGTGTAGTTATAAATACTTGTACTAAATACCGAAAAAAAATCTTTAAGTTATGAGACAGATGGGAATATGTATACATGCATGTACACCTGACACATTTCTACCAAGTCTGGCCACACATGATATGAAGAATAGGCAATATGATAGAGGTCTGCTTACAAGACAAAAGAAAATGGCAGAATGTGTCGAAGTTATTTAAGACCAGCACAGCTGTGCATCAATGGCAACATTAAAATAATGCCGCAGCCTAAAGTTGGCAATTCAGATTCAACTATCTTCACCACTTCCTGCCGGGGACTCCGGAATCGGAGACGTATGGTTTATATGCATGGCCGGGGTCTCCGAACTCGGACAAAGGAAACAGAGCCCTGTAACAAAAGACCGTACTCCGAACAAAGGACCAGGCTGCTGGGCATTACTGACATTTTTCACTCTCAAAAGTGGTGATAATCCAGCCTTGTTTTGAAACCTTATACCAGGGTTTGGGGCATTGAGAGCGAGCGGATTACCACCGGAACAAAAGCGCTCCCCCACCGCAGCGATGAGCCACACAGCACCACTGCACGCTAATCTGGCCCCTACTGAAAAGAGGTCAGCAGTGCACTGAGCCAGGTTTGTGAACAAAATAAAGTTACATAACACCGCACGATCTGGCCTCTTTTTACGAGGCTGCAGGCCTGGCTGAAATACTCAGGCATCAATGAAGGTCACCTGTCAACTTAGAGTAGTGCCTAAAGATTACTTCGTGCGGCTATAAACGACCGTTAAATGAAATGATGAATTTTTGAAGGATTTTAAAAAGGGAAAAAATGATAGTCATGCCGGCCCAGCATCATCAACATTGAAAAATGCCCCGGCATGAAGTGGTTAACATGCTTACGTTACAGCTTTCACCAACGATACGGCAAAAGCCTGTGCGGAAAAAAAAAAAACTATACAAACAAAAGGAATTATTTGTTCGTTTGCTCGTTCAATATGGAAACACAAATCGTCAGCTACTCAACATGTGAAGCCTTCAGCACACATTCAGGCAGTCACATGTTCGTAGCAAAGCTTTCAGCATCTTAGTGACGCACGCATTTTAATTAAAATCTCAAAGCTGAATGGAAGCTCCACTGGGTATACAATGCCGAGTACAAACTGACACCTAACCTGAACATATGTTTACTTTATAAAAACACTACCAATCCTGGGCATATCTGTGTATTGCCCTGATGGGATAAATTAGAAGTGATTGTGGGACTTGTATTTGTGTTCTGACCTTTATATCACTTACTATTCTGCCGACAAACATTGGATGGCTTCGACTGGGAAAAAATATTGCTCAGGCTACAATATCGAGGATAAGTGCAACAGTGAGTGCCACACACTTCTATTCTTAAATCACCCATAGAGCCAACAACCATTTTTTTTTACATCAGGCTGATGATTCCATCCAAGCAGAATTAATACGATCATGCATTTTCATGCATTAATTACTACATGAATGATCTTATTGAATGCTTCAATGTCTGGACGGTTTTTCTCTCAGGTATTGCTCTAAGAACATTGAGTGCCATTTGTTCAGCACTTGTTTTTTTCACATTTCATTAAATTTCTTTGTCAAATATCAAAGCAAATCTTACAGCCCTTTGCCCATGAAACAGTTCAGGTGCTGCTACAAACTATTTACTGGTTAACAACTATGTGTTTCATTAGTTCTTCCTTAAGAGGGAATCATCAACATGTTTAGGCACAGGCAGGCAATATAAAGAATACTACTGTCCTCATTTAAGCACTGCAGTGGCATAATATTCAAGCCATCAAAGTAGCTCTTGCAATAACTGTACAAAATGCCAATTGCCAATGCCAAAATGCCAGGTTTCAGCACATGCAAACTTGATACACGTGTAATCAAAGCATTAATGCATTTGCAATGACACTTCATGCATTCTTTTTTTTCTTTATCACTGATTTCCCCGCCCTCTGGGCTAACAATGGACAAATCTTCTGCAAAGTACAACTTTTCCCCCGAGACTCCTCATGATCCAATCTGCGTTGCAGCATATTCCCAACGGCATTTTAGGTGTGCACATGTGCATACCGTTCAATCTATGAACATGTATTTACCAGATTTACAAGCTACGTTTCAGGACCTTCACATGCAGTTACACGTGTAAATGAAGTCTGTATTGCACCCCCTCAAAAAAAAATTTGACGATTTTAAACAGGAATTAGAGAGTAAAATGATCACATGTAGCTTTTCAATAAGTACTACAGTTATTTTTCATTGTTCATATTCTAGTTTTACTATAATTACATTTTCTAATCCATACTAATATGAGATTCATACAAACACCCCTGTCTTACCGGCATTTTCTATGCCTGTGATCTTTATCTTATGCACGTAAAGATCTAATGGGTAGGTTTGTAAAGAGCATCTTGACATTCCGTATTCCACATTTTTAAAAAAAAGTAAATTGAAAATATTGCTTTCCAAGTCAGTTTCATTCCTTATTTCCAGATCTGCCAGCAGGTGTCCTCTTTGGTCTTAATCCCCATGAACCAATTATTGTAATTTGTAATATCACGGTGCTGCTCATAGAAATTTCATGCTGATGTACAAGTACCATCTGTGAATATGTACGTGTATGTGATAAATGAAAACCTTAGGATTTTTGGTCACCCTACAGGTACCGGTATGCTAAACCTGAAATCTGACATCTCGTGGGAAAGTGACATTTGAATGTCATGAATTAACGTGAAAAAGTCAACTGTGTGCCAGGCACCTCTCCACATGGCCATGATAATGGGAAAAAAGGGAGCTGATTGAATCTTTCTTTAGAGGAAGAAAAGAAAATAAATGGTAACTTTTAAAATGAGAGAGTAATAAGCAAGTACGAC